ATATTAATAACTCAGGTTTAGTGTCACATTGGCACAATTAGGTCTTGTCCAATATATTGTCATTCTACCAAGTTTCAATGGTCTATCTCTAGTGATTACGATCTTATGGCCATTCACACAAAACATGCCATAAAATATGGGAGTCATGTCTGGAGGCCAACTTGAACGTTTTGGGCTTAGTTTTACACAAAACGCTCATAAATATCTTGTTTTATGGCTCTTATCTTCCTTCTTATCTCTTGTTTCAATGTCTCAAAGGTTGTTAGTGTAGACAATAGGCCCAAATATCTCTGGTGGGATTTATGTCCAGTCAGTGAGACACATTTCGGCATTTTGACCATGGTTTGTAAATTATCATAAAATCGTGACTATTATGGATAGACCAATGACTCTTAGCAGAATGAAAGAACATTGAACAAGGTTTGACCCATTTTATTCCGATTTCCTTTTCACCATTAAGTATAGGCAGTCAGCTAGCATATTTGTATTGTATAACCCACTCAATTAATTGAATTAATTTAATCTGTGTTCATTTCAAAACGATAGCCTGTAATGCCTATTGCGCAAGGCAATACAAGTATAGTTGAAATAAATGTATAATGAACTGAAATTGAACAAAGTTTAAGTGTGCCAAATATGATTTTAAACCCATGCTGAATGACCGAGTTATTTACATACATTTTTCTGTTACCTTTTTGGCTCGCCCTGTATCTTCGCCTCTTACACAATTTCATCTAATAGTTTTCATCTATAGTTTTTTTTAATTTATATTCTTAACATTTACAGAAATGAATCACAAACACGCTTTTAATTGTGTTTTGTATTTTGATTAGAAAATAAAAATAAAAAGCTTATAAAATGCGATAAGTACAAAACATGCCACCGTGCCATGGCATCCTCTATGGCACCCATGTGCCATAAACTCATGGTTTCTCATTCAGATTTAGTTAGATTATTTTAATTCTTGATCCTCTTGCTAAAGATTCTCTGGCTCAGAGAGAATGGATCCTTGCGTACGTACGTCTGTAACTTGATCCAGATTGACACATGTCCATCCAAGGCATACTATCCCAAGATAGATAATATAACTTTAGTAAGAAGCTCAAAAACAATATTTGTAGGGGTAGACATTTGTAAGGGCAATCATAATCTACAGAAATATGCACGAATTTGACTCGAAATAGTGTTTAAGTAGAGCCTACAGTATGGCATAGGGGGTGCCATAGCCTTTGCCATAGGGTGTCCATGTGCCATGACACGGTGTCATGATTTGTACTAACCTATTTTGACTTGAATTGATAATAAACAATTCTACCTCATCATATCTATACAGTTATATGGAATAAGTCTGGAAAAGCTCGCTATATCCCAACCAAATGAAAGTGTAAAGTTTACCAGATCCTTGAATTTATACATCCCTCTTTTTCGATTGGGTTATCTAAAGGATATGCTGTCAAGGCAATGTGAAGTGACAGGAGAATAAAAAATACATTCAAACATCATCCATTACTAAGATTACTATGAGCATGGCCTTTATCAGCATGAATCCTTCAAACATTTTTTATACCTTTTATGCTGTTGGATATAATACTACTCGGGTGTTTGCATAGCTATCGACCTTGGGGAAGATGGTCTCAATTCAGTACTGCAGAGGTGAATATTATCTATGGGTTTCTTGTTTTATTTATTCACTGCTCATGCAACTCCCATTTAGTGCAATATATGTATTTATTATTCAATATGCATCTCATATTTAGTGCAATATATGCATTTATTGTAATATTTGTCTTCAAACATATGCATTATGTATTTCACATTTAGTGCAATATTCATATTAATTGTAATATTTGCCCATATGCAATATACTACTTACATTTAGTGCAATATATGTATTAATCATGCAATATGCATCTCACATTTAGTGCAATACATGTATTTATTGTAATATTTGTCTTCAACCGATGCATTGTGTATTTCACATTTAGTGCAATGTTCATATTTATTGTAATATTTGACCATAGTGCAACATGCTACTTACATTAAGTGCAATATATGAATTTATTGTAATAACAGTCTTCGACCATATGCATGATACAATTCACATTTAGTGCGATATTTGTATTTATTGTAATTTTTGACCATATGCAACATGCTACTCTCATTTAGTGCAATATATATATTTATTATGCAATATCGATATCACATTAGGTGCAATATATGTATTTAATATAATGATTGACAATATCATTCCATGAACTGCTTATTTATTTATGCCAAACTGATTAATCAGACTGAATTTATATCATTGGTTATTAATCATGTATAAATTTTTACCAGGGACATTTTTTGTCTCTGTCTTTATGAGTGTTGACCCAAGCTGCCCATTGGGGGTAGTAATGGGTGACACTCAGATATAATGTATACTGTGTCTCATAAGTCGGCACCGGCTGGTGATGTTACAAAATGTTGTTTTTATTATGTATTTTATATGTATATTGTAATGTCAGTGACACAAAAATAAACTATTTTAAACTTAAAACTTAAACATATTATGACACTGTGTTGCCATCTATTTGTGTTAAATATATTATAAACATCACATAGAATTATTTCAGCACTTCTTGCAGAGAGAGACCAAAATTCTTAGGAATTTTTAGGAAAAAACTAGGAATTCAATCCAATTTTCATATATATGAGATTACTGATAACTTGTATTGCAATCTAGTTTCGCAGAGATACGGTCCTCTTTTTCAATATACAGGGTGGGCCAAAAAAACAATACCCAACTTCAAATCAGGATAAAAATAGTTACATTCAATATGGTACATTGACTGACATATCATTTTAAAGGTTATACAATTTCAAACAATTCGGTATATAACACTATGTCATGAAATCAATAGTAAGGTTTTATTAACTTATTTGGGAGGCCAGGTTGCTATTTAAGGTCTCCAGATTTAAGGGAGAAAATAGTAAATCTGCGGAATTATGTTAATTTTTTATTTATAGAATATCATTCTTTTGTTAGGTGAATACACGCTTGGATATTGATATTTGCATCATTATGTGACTTAATTTATTGTTTATGAATTTCAGTGTTGTTTAATGACATTTTACACTTTATTTATTTAACAATTTCACAATTGCTCAATATATCCCAACTTCCCCCCCCCCCCCCTCCGCATGAACAATAAGCTTCAAGTGGAAGCGCAATCTATCAATAGCATTATTGAGAGATTTCTGTTGCAATTCATTTCAGCACTTTAGGAATCTGTTTCATCAATTTCATCAATGCTGTTTATTGGATGCTTTTGATTGTACCATTTCCTCGAGATGGCTCCATGTATGGTTATCAAATACATTAGCATCGGGGCTGTTGGGTGGCCAAGCATCGAGATCAATGAAATTGACTTCTTGTTTGCAAAGGAATGCCAATGTCTCCTGAGATCTATGGTACGAGGCAATGTCTTGTTGGAAAATAAAATCCTCGTCACATATACGTTTAAGCCCCCCCCCCCTTTTTCTTCATTTCAAATTGATTCAATTACATAATTATAAAGATTTTAACAGTAGACACATGTTTATGTGTATGTATACTGAGTTTACAATTAAAGATGTATGAATATAAAATAGTACCTTTAATTTATAAGAAAGAGAGTATGAGCAACTTATTGGGAGCAGGAGCGATGGGGACACCTAACTGATACTAGAGATATTGTATAATGTGTAACATAATGACATCTACTGAGGATATTAATATGATGAGTTAACATATAATTAAGAATAAAGATCAATGTTTACTATGCCCTTAATAATGATTATTTGGAATTTTGCTGATCAGGAAGTTTTTTAGTCTTAATTTAAAAATACTCAGGGAATGGCTATTTTTTAGGTACAAAGGTAGATTATTCCATAGTATTTGTCCTTGATTTTTATTGAAAACAATCCTATATTCGTTTTAAACTTTTGTGCATGTAGCTCTTTGTTTTGTCTCGTAAAATAATTATGAATTTGGTCATTGCGATAATAATGTCACTGAAGACCCTTTGGTAAATTGTGAGGTTGTTGTACCATTTAAACACAAATTGACCAATGTTATACTCGAAGATTCTTGCAATTGGCAAAACTTTAAATTGCTTAAATAAAGGAGATGAAAGTTCTCTCCTGTCTTTCAGAGCCAATAATCTCAAAAATGATTTTTGAAGTCTTGACAGTTTGTCCAGAGCAGTTGTATAGTTGCTACCCCAAACTACAGTACAATAATTCAGATGAGAATAAATTAATGAGTTATAAATTGCAAGCATACTTGGACTATTAAGAAGATGTCTGCATTTAAACAAAACATCAATTGTACAAGAGATTTCAGTTTCAAGATGCTTTATGTGTTCTTTCCGGTTATTCCAAGAAAATTATTGATTTGACTCGCTCGATAAGGATATTGTTTATTTTCACATTTAGATTTTTTATGAATTTGTTTCTTCTTTTTTGTGCATACTATATATTTGGTTTTTGAATAATTTAGAGAAAGTTTATTTGATCTGAACCATTCATCAAGAGTGACTAGTTCCCGGTTAAGATTCTCTATAAGAGAGTCAATACAAGAATCATGTGCTAAAACATTTGTATCACCTGCAAAAATAACGGAGTTTAGAGAAGTCACTGCCAAGTATATATCATTTACATAAATAATGAACAAAAGAGGACCGAGGACAGAACCTTGTGGAATACCATATGACACTGATTCTGTTTCAGAGAAAACATTATTATAAAAAACTTTTTGTTTTCTGTTTTCTAAATAACTTTGGAAGAAGTTAAGGGATTTATCCATTATCCATAAAATTTCATTTTTTCTAAAAGAATACCATGATTTAAAGTATCAAATGCTTTAGAAAGATCAAGAAACAGTCCTATTGAGTACTTGTCATTTTCTAACTTGCCATGTTAAACCTGATCCTTTATTAAGTTTTAAGATATAAATAATTTATAATACTAAAATGGATCATAGAATGTCATAATAACTCAATATCTATATGCACAATGATTGAGTTCTGATACTATACGGGATCTAACACGATTTTGGATGAAATATTTTAATGAGTGTTAAAAAGAAAACAAAATGTTGTGATTTACTGGTATATCTCAACATTTAGGATTTTGGATGATACAGAATCCACTGACACGGGATCTGATACGGCCTTTGGCTGATACGGGATCTGATACGGTCTTTGGCTGATACGGGATCTGAATACGGCCTTTCGCTGATAAGGGAAATTTTGAATGTCAGTTTTAGGATTATGACATTTGGGAATAAATATACATATATCCCTTGGGATAAATCCTGTATCAAAACAACCTCTCAGTGCATAACACTTATATACTTTATACCAGTGAATTTTATTTGACAACTTCTACGGCTACACGTCTTTTATTCGAAACAAATAACTCGATGGATCAAATGATGATTTAGTGTGAAATATGTACTCCGGGAATAAGGTGTAGGACAGACATATCAGGAATTTAAGTCCAGTACCAATAGCCCTAGAGATAATGGTCCATGAACAGTAATCCTAGTTTCAGCCCGATTGGGACCATACAGTCTACCATTTAGAACTGCATTCTCAAACTGGTATTACATAAGTAAAACTTGAATATTTGGTATTGAAGACAGATCAGTTGGTATATATGGTATATGCGCCATTTTGTTACGGAAACGGATTCGTTTTCGTAACTCCTTTTAAGAGTTGCTCCACAGTGATGATGGTAATTTTGAGTGGTCACAAAACCTTCTATGACCAACAGTTCTGGAGATAAAAAAGGGGAAGGGGGATTCGTGTAAAAAAGGGCGTGACCATTTGACCTATTTCGCATCCAGTGTCAAATATGTTACCAAGGAAAAATTGGGCAATGACCTTCACTTAGATGATTTCTGAAGAGAAAATCTCTGGACATGCATACAAGTACATACTCAACCAGCATGAGCCACTAGAGTAATAATTACAGAAAAATAGATATTTTTACAAATTAGAAGCTTTGCCCGCTGGGACTAGAACAAACTTTTAATGAAATTGTTTTAAACGCTTCTTCGCTCATTGTCATTGTTTCAGTTAAAACGTATAACAGTCAGTACCCTGTCCTCACAAATTCCCCGTCTGAACCGGGAATCAATCCCGGTGGATAATGATGAAGGATTTCTGTAGCGAAAATGAATACTGTTTGTAGCAATTAGTGATGATGCTAAAATACAAATCAGAAAGGATGATGTGCAATAAGGGGCAATTACCCCCATGGTCGTGATGAATCATTTTAGGTGTAAAATAAAGAAATTACAATATTACACAATATAAATCATTTTGCTCCACCCCTTGCTTGCTTCGCCACATTGTTCACATTCTTTTATGGGATGAAGTATTACTTTCTAATATAAAATCTTGTCAGTAATTCATCAATCCTTTGTATTGGTAATTTGCACACTACTTTGTCGCCAGCATTTAGCTGTACATAACCACCCAATTCCTTGTTGTTCCATAGTTCAGATATGATTAACCATCTGTCCACATGTAGCGCCTCCTCACCTGTACAGCAGCCAGATCTCAGCGCACGTATTGTGATGTAGAGGACAACTGGCATTATCCAATAATTACGAAGTTTTGTTGGTTGTACATCAACACATGGGAAATCAACATCTCGAAGTTTCTTCCGACTGTCATATATCAACAGGTGACCATACTCCTCGTTCATCTCATAGAGTTCGAATACATGATGAGCTACATCACAAAGGCAACTTCCTAATGATCTCTCACTGGTGCATCTTGCCTGATGACGAAGAACCAGGATCTTCAGGGCATGGGAGCTGAAAGTGGAGCTTTCGTGGACTAGATGGCATTCCAGAATAAGGAGTTTCAGTAGCATTAGCAGCTTATTGTGATCTTCATCTAGTTTATGTTTGCTGTTATAGACGGATCGGACCCATTCTGCTTGAAAATACGGTAGGGCTATATGTGTACTATGCTCTGTCTGATGATGTTCTAGTTCTATGCAAAACCCTAGGTCTATATCTGTGGTATGTTTACCACCACCAATCCTTATCCTTACACATGGTCCATGCATCCTTTTATCTAGAGCAATTGTATTGGGAGGTAAGTGGGGATTATAAGTTCCATTCCTGCAACTTTCCCTTAACTCGCCAGGTATTCCATATCTAATAATGGATCCATATAGAGATGCAGAGCCCTCCTGATTAAGAAGTCTCAGTTTTCTCAAGCATTCCCATTCACTACTCGTTGGTCCTAGTTCACTCGCTCCTAAGTAGTGAATACCTTCAAGTTGGCATAGACATATACGGATTGCCTGTTGGATATAAGATGTTATATCACTTTGAAGATTGTTCTCAAAATCGACTACTTCCTTGTATAATCCAAAGTATAATCCAAATGATAGTTTTATGTCATTGAGTTGTTCTTTCAAATTTTCATCACAAATGGTCAATTTTACTCTATTCTTTCCTTTTACATCTGATATATTTACATTTTTTAAAGATATATGTCTAAATATTAGCAGCAGATCGCCTTCATCAGGGTGTATTATTTTGCTCGTGTCATTGAAATAACTTCCATTGGGTAGTAAATCTCTAACTTGAAGCACTGGATAACGCTCTAGTTTATGACACAGTCTCATTACTTCAGATAGAATCTCATCCTTGTGTTCTTTAATTTCTAAATCACTTAGCTTTAATTTACATTTCTCATATCCAGCATTTGCAAAGACTGATAGTCTGTATAGCTCTGGGAAAGTTAGAGATGTTCCTGTTAACATAAGAGCCATCCCAAACCATGACTAAAATGTGTTTTAGAAAATCAAGATTCAATTTTTATACTAAATATCTTGAGTTAGTCAATGTGTAACTTCTCTCACTGGTAGTATTTATTGTGAATGTTTTTGTTTGATGACGCACACTGTTTTTATAGGTCCTGTTAAATTAATTTTTAACCAGTACCACTTGTGATTTTCTTCTTTCAAAATGAGAGTGTGTGCAATACATGTTATGTCCACTATGGAGCATTTTCGATGTGTTGTAAGATATATAGACATACACTTTAGAGGAGAGAATGACATTGTGTCAAATTGGCAAAGGGTTTTGGTACGTTTTTATGTCCTGATATGTCAAGAAGTAATAACATATTGTTATGGTCTCCGTTTTTTGACGGCGATCGATGGTTGATGATCGGCGTCTGTAACAAATTCTTACAACTTCCAATAACTTAAATACTGTTTAGACTGACTTCATTTTTTTCAGAATCATCTACATGTTTTCAGAAGTTCAAATCTGACTTTATATTTAAGATTTGACCTTCAATGACCTTTTCAAGATCAAAAAAGGTCAAAAAGTATATTTTTTCAACTTGCTTCAAATTGACCAATTTTTGGGAATCGTGGACTACAAGTTATCAGAAGTTCAAATCTGATTTGAGATTTGACCTTCAATGACCTGCTCAAGGTAAAAAGGTATTTTTTCAATTTGCTTTAAATTGACCATTTTCTCCAACAGAAATTCAAATCTGACTTTAGATCTGACATTCAATGACCTTCTCAAGGTCAAAAAGGTCTTTTTTCAACTTGCTTCAAGTTTTTTTTCAAAATCATCTACAAGTTCAAATCTGACTTAAGATTGAGCGCCTAATATTGTGAGGAACTAGGTGGTGACATTTTGTCATGTTAATGCCTTGTTTCCTCAGTTGTGTTTAGTGTGTAGTTGTAAAAATATAAAAAATGTAAAATGCGGAAAATATAGTGATATATGATCGGGATATTTCGTCAGATTTAATGCCAATATTGGGAGATTATATCGGGAGAGGATACCTTGAAAACCGATATTGAACATACGTAAAGATCGATATATCTCAGGAATGAATGACTTTTGGACTATAATCACGCCTAACCATCGACAAGGTACAGTCACGTGACAGTGACAAAATATGCCGTAGTACACTTTTGATGTACTATGTCATTTCCGCCATTTTAGATCGCCATTTTCTAGAATGAGGTAGCATTGATTTGATCAATATTGTGTCAGTTCATCATCAGGTAGTTGTTGCATTCGATTTGTAATTAAGTTGCAAATATGCATATCTACTTCAAATGATCCTCAGCAACTTCAATATCTTGTTATAGATCTACCCAGTACGTCAGGGATCTCTAAATCTTGACTGAATTTCGCAAAATTCTCTCTAATTTTTGTTTTGCTATGCAAATAACAGCCAAACTACGACTAACACAACTTAAGATAAGTCAACTCGAATGTATGTTGTCATATTGGCCTTACAGATCTCAATTCACAGTTAATTTTACAGTTAATGGAATGCTATAATGTACGTGTAATAGAAGGAACATATTTTAATTTTATAATAAAGTAACAATTTATAATAATAGGGCTGGCATATCGAAAAATTTACTCTAATATTTTGTCCGTTAATCCATAAAATTGTCATTGATATGATTAAATTTCAATGTTACTAATAATTTTTTAGTATTCCATAACCCTGACTTTTGAACTTCTGCACTTTCCCCCCTAGGCAGACATATACCAATTTCTCCATAGTATGTGTCATATATCATATTTAAGCTTATCCAAAGTTACATTGATTTGCCAAATATGATGGTTCAAATGGTAAAAAGTAACAGGCATTTCAAAAATTAGCGTTTTGCCAAAAAGTTCATTTCAGTATCCTGGAAACAGCCCTGACCTGAATGTGACAGAAAATATGGATGCTATTCTCGAAGATAATATATGGATATCGAGTTCTAAAAAGATAACGTTTAGGGTAGATACTCCAAGGAAACACTTCGTATGCCTTAAAAAGGTTTTATGAGGATTACAAAACGCCATATCCCTATTTGAAGCCACTTTAAGGTCATATATGGAAAGTATTGCTGCTGTTAACACGGCGGCTAAGGAGACACACCGACTATTGTTTTGGTGTAAAACTGACTTTAATTTTGGCCAAACACTAACTTTTGAAATTCCTGTTACTTTTTTCCATTTGTGAGTTTAACCATGATACTCGGCAAATTAATGTAACTTTGGATGAGCTTTAGTATGATATACGACACATACATGGAGACATTGGTATATGTCTGCCTAGGGGGCCCATAATTTCGGGACACCCTGTAGCATAAAGTCATATTGGATTAGCTATTAAAGATCTCTCCATGAACTCCTTAAGATTATTAAAATTCATAAAAGTGCAACTAAACAAAACGTAACGTACCGACGGCGAGTGGTCAAAGAGGTCGGAAGAAAACACGCCATGGTCACATATTAATCACCATATTAATACTTTCATAATAGCATTCAACGAAAAAATCACTTTTACCTGTTTATCTGTACTAGGGATACAGGAGCATGTTCGTTGAACATCACTTGTAACGCATAAAACCCTTAATGCATTTTGAAATTAAATCATTGCAATGTTTAATATTATAACTCATGTATTTCAATTACAGGGACAACATACACCGTGAGTTGACAACGTACATTTCTGATTTTTTAAATTATATCAAATGCATGAATGTTTATTAAATGTTCACCTGTCCTAAACTGTGTAGTTTAGAGAAACACATTCTCATAAAAATATTCGACTCTCTGAGACGTCAGGGGAGAAAATCATCAAAGGAAATGTGTAAAAAACAACATTTTTCCAACCGAAGAATCGTATGGGTAGACTAACAACGAAAAAAATCGAAGATGTTTTAACATTATTAGAAAAATAAATGTCTTTGAAATCGAATGCACGCGAAATCAAACATAAAATCCTTTGTGTACTCCTAAAATTTATTTTTGAAAACCTGCATCAAACCTACATCATAGTCTTCGCTCAAAATCAGTTAATAGTGACATAGTACATCAAAAGTGTACTACGGCATATTTTGTCACTGTCACGTGACTGTACCTTGTCGATGGTTAGGCGTGTATAATACATGATGACGATGAGAGCTTAGCTGTCAATGATTAAAGACTCATGTGGAAGACTTTGTTGATTTAGATGAATTCCTTATCCCCCGCATTGGAGATACATATCGTGACCTTGTGTTACACATGGCTTAATTGGGCATCGCTGGTTATCTATTCATTCATGCGTTCTTTGGACTAACATAACCAAATGCTATAACATGCGTATTCCCATCTAAATGATTCGTCTTTCAAAGAAAACTAGGATTTGTGGACATGTCTTGCTATCATGCCATCATACCCCAGTATGTCCATATGTCCATACATACTCTTTTTCATTCATTTACTTACCAAAATCAAACCACTGGTGATGCTACAATAGTTGGACTATATTCTTGTTTTTAAAATGCCATGTCTATTCGTCTTCCCACTCGGCGGAAGGATAAAGAATTCAAGATATATAGAAGGATGGAATAAAGATCTGAATTTGTCACTCAATCAAAATGATTGGAAGAAGATAAATAAACTTAACAAACTGAGTAACTATGAACCTAAGTTATCATCCTTCACTTATAAAGTCCTTCACAGATTTTTAGCAACTAATACATACCTAAAAATGTGTGGACTCGTAGAGTCAAACATTTGCACTTTTTGTAAAGCAAATCCTGAAACGATTTGCCATCTTCTGTATGAATGTACTATTGTAAGTGCCGTATTAAATGACATTAAACAATGGCTTCCTTTAGAGCTCACATTGCTATGCACTAAACAAAATGTATTGATAGGACCTGAGAGTATAAATGAGAAGACAATCATCTTAAATAATATGCTATGTATTTTTAAAAGGTATGTTTATTTGTGCAAATATTCTATGCTAAAACCAACACTTAAAGGTTTTATAAGTAATGTGAAGGAATATTTTATTATGGACAAACGGGTTGGCAGAGGCGATAAGTGGAAAATCATGGAAACAAAATTAAACAAATGAAACTGATGATTTTTTCCTTTAAATAAATAAAAAAAATGCCAATGGTATAACGTCTCTTAAGACGAAATATTTAACCACTGTACTGTATTGTAAAATTGTTAAATGTAGATTTACCATGTAACTGTACTGTAATTGTTTTTTGCAATTGCTTTAACATTTTTTTTTTTTTTTTTTTTTTTTTTTTTTATTTCTCTATTCAAACAGTACAAGTACAATAATTAGAACAGTTCAGATATTTTTCACACCACCTCAATTCATTCAGACATTTGCAACAGTCATACTTTTAAGTTCAGGTACATAATAAAACATATTTTTTTCAAATTGCGCCTCATACAAATTGGGATTCACTTCGTCGAACTCTTTAATAAAAATATAGTACTTAATTGCAAGGGTAAGTCTATTTGGTAAGATATTTTTCTTATTAGCTTGCCTTCCAAAAACCATGTCATGGGCGTTAAAATCGAAATCAACTTTAAATAAACGCTTTAAATTCCCTTTGATTGCTTCCAGAAATATTTGAATTCTTTTGCACTCCCAGAATTTGTGTTTTAACGTATCTCGAAAGGCACAATAGTTACATTTAGAGTCATTTTTAATGCATATCTGCGCTAAAAAGGCATTTGTAGTGCAGATACCATGAAGTATTTTAAACTGAAGTTGTCGCGTTTTATTCTGTTTCGTACACATATAAGGCATTTTAAAATAATCGGTTCTCTTTAATTCACGATCATGTTTGTCTTTATATAACGGTTCCAAGAACTTGTTTCCATTTAATATTGTTTGAATTGATTTAACCGTTATACTAGAGATTGTCACCTGTTTTTCACCAAGTTTCAAATACACGAGTTCTTCCTGTATGCTGGGTTCAAAGGTCGAACTTAAATCTGATTTCAATAAAAATTTCCAATCATTTGGTATAGCCGATATGATTGAAAAATACTCAAGAAAGTTGATATTAATATTATACTTAGTC